ACGAATATAAATTGTATCAAATTATTTTAGGGGGGAAAACAGATATTTTTCTCAGATGTGTGTTGCTCGTGTGTTTGGAATCGAAAAAGAAAACTTGAAAATTTAAAAAAAGAAAAACTGTACTTTATTACGATAACATACACAACATGGTACAAAAATATCCATATCTATATATATATATATATTTCTCTATACGAAGAGAAATATCGTTATTTACAAGTAAAGTAAATAAGAAATTGATTACACTCGATGTGTCACGGTATGGCTTGTCCGAGGACATGGACAAACAGCGCGAGTTTCTTAAATTCTAAAGACCGAACAATAAAATCGTACGATAAAACTTCTTACTTCCGAACGTTAAATCTTTCCAAAAAAAAAAAAAAAAAATATCGAATTTCGTTCGATCGAAAGTGGAATAATCTCGCGTACGATAAATCTTGGAAATTCGTCTAGAGAGAGAAAAAAAAAAAAGAAACAGAAGAACAAGAATTCGTCCTCTTTCTTCCAACCTCCATTCCTTTCGCAAGAAAGAGGACCTTTCGTTCCACCACAATCGCAACGTGGTGGTATCCCACTAATTCTTCCCTCGAGAGGAAAGAAGAAGAACGCAGATCGATTATCGAGCTCGATCCAAAGACCTTCGATCCCTCCCCCTCCCAAGTTACGAGGCTACGCCAACAGAAAATTCGAGCGAATTTTACTAGCGAAGGATCTCGCGAGAAGATCGGGAGGGGCGAGGATGAAAAAGAGTTACTTGTAGCCGTGGTGCTCGTCGTGGTGGGGTTGAACTTGTACCCAAACTTTCTCCCAAACGGGCTTCCATACCTTCTTCCACGCTGGTACCTGGACGTCCTTCCAAACGGGCACCCACTTGCTCTTCCACTCGTCCTTCCACACCTGCTTCTTCTGCGTCACCCAGATCTGTTTCTTCTCGGGCACCCATACCTGGACCGACTCCTCCTTCCACACCAGCTTCTTCTCCGTGGCCCATGCTTGCTTCTTCTCCGTCTTCCACACCTGTTTCCACTCGGCCTTCCACTCCAGCTTCTTCTCGCTCACCCACACCTGCTTCTTCTCCGTCCTCCAGATCTTCTTCCACACCGGTTTCCAGATCAGTTTCTTCTTCCACAGGTCGTGGCTCGTGTACTGCCACCCGTGCTGATCCTTGCCCACGTACTGTTCACCCGGTATCCCGATCTTCACCCATTCAGGCACCCAGATCTTCTTCCAATCCGGGACCTGGACCTCTTTCCACGCGGGGACCTGCACTTCCTTCCACACCGGCTTCCAAACCTTCTTCCATCCCGGCACCTGCACCTCCTTCCACACCGGCACCTGAACCTCCTTCCACACCGGTTTCTGAACCTTCTTCCAAACCGGCACCTTCACCTCCTTCCACGCGGGCACCTGAACCTCCTTCCACACAGGCACCTGCACCTTCTTCCACTCCTGCTTCCACGCCAACTTCTGCTCCGTTTTCCACACCCGTTTCCACTCCGCTTTCCACGTCAGTTTCTTCTCCCATCTCCCCTGCGGGGGTTGAGCCGCCGGGGGCCCGTACGAACCTGACAATCCGCCCAACGATCCTCCGCCGCTACCGTACCCTTGGTCGCCTCCGTGGCCCGATGGGGCGCCGTACGACGAAGATGGACCCGATGGGACGCCGTAGCTGGACGATGGGGCACCATAGCTGGAGGATGGAGCGCCGTGAGAGGAGGATGGAGCCGATGGGGCGCCGTAGCTGGACGATGGGGCACCGTAGGAGGAGGATGGAGCCGATGGGGCGCCGTAGCTGGACGATGGGCGCCGTGAGAGGAGGATGGAGCCGATGGGGCGCCGTAGCTGGACGATGGGGCACCGTAGC